ACACAAACTAATCTTAGAAGAAGAGAAAACTGGTTTTAGAGTTTAGAAAGATTAGATTGGAGTTGTGGAGGTTTGGAGGGTTTATGAATATTTCAAATTGTTAAAATGAGGCTCTTAGGTGTCTTTCCTTATTTATGTATAGGAGGAGGTATTTATAGAGGTTTACAACCAATTAGAGATCAAATAAATCAAGTTATAGTCAGATAAAATCACAAATGCTGCGTTTGGTGTGCAGGAATGGAATGGAATGGAATGCCCATTCCAACCATTCATTTGTTTGGAATGCAATTTAAAGTAGGAATAGTCATTCCATTGGAATGAAAATCCATTCCACAACTAAAACTATGGAATGACCATCCATTCCCAAGTAAATTTTTTTAAAAATCAACTTCTCAAAAAGCGCTCATGTTCCAAGTCCAAAAACCACCACTACCTTCTACCACAACCATCTCTGGCTTTCACCACTACCACCACCGACTTCCACCACTACCACCGCCTTCCACAACCACCACCGCCATCGACTTTCACCACTGCCCACCACCTACCGCTTTCCACCACCACAGCCGTCTTTTAACACTGCTACCACCTTCCACCACTGCCATCGCCTTTCACAATAGCCACCACCTTTTACCACCACCACCACCGCCACCGCCACCGCCTTTCACCTCCACTACCACCTCTCATAACCATCACCATCACTGCCTTTCACCACTGCCACCGCTTTCCACCGCCATTGCCTTCTGCCGCCACCGTCTTCCACTACCACCACCACCGTTACCACCTTCACCACTACTGCCGCCACTGCCTTTCACCACTGCCACCGCCACCGTCTTCCATCACCATAGCCACCATTATTGCCTTCCACTACCACCACCACCACTGCCTTCCACCACTGCTATCGCCTTTCACCACCACTACCGCAACTGCCTTCCACCACTACTATCACCTTTCACCACCACAGTTGTAATTGCCTTCCACCACCGTCACCGCCTTCCACCATCCACTACCACCACCACCACAGTCACCTCATTGGCTTCCAACACCGTTACCCACACCACTATCTCCTTCTACCACCACCACCGCCGTCACCTCATTGGCTTCCAACACCGTTACCCACACCGCTATCTCCTTCCACCACCACCACCGCCGTCACCGCCTTCCACCATTACCACTATTGCCGCCTTCCAACACCACTACCATTTTTCACCTCCACCACCATAGTCACCACCACTGCCACCATTTATTTTAAAAAGAATTAAGAATAATGTCATTTTGTTAATTTAATTTACTTGTTACTAAGAGGGATATTTTGGAGAACTCAATTTGAAATTTATTCCATTCTAAATTTTAAATTGGTTCAACTAAACATTAGAATGGTTATTATCATTCCATTTCTGCACATTTTATTTTTACAACTAAACAATAAAATGAGAATGATCATTCTATTTCATTTCCATTCTCATTTCATTTCCACTTGCATTCCATTCTATTCTTGCATATCAAACGCAACATAAAATTTGTGTTCCCCTTGAACTCCTTAATACTTGTCTTGATTGAGCGGCGTGGTAGCTCCTTTTTCAATCCAATGGTGAAAGTAACTCAATTGAAGTGAGATTTTGAGAGCTTCTCCATAAAATGACCTCGATTTCATGATGGAATAATCAATTTTATGATTTGATGATGGAAAGATGGAGATTTTATAGTTACAGAATTTGTACCCACGATCTAACTACTCTGGTGGACCGAATTCGAACCAAAGGTGAAAGTAACTTGATCGAGAGGGAAACTTGAGGGCTTATATGTAAAATGAGCCGAAATTCACCATGAAAGTACCAATTTGAGAGTTTGGTGATGGGAAGACAAAGATTTGACAAATTAAGAATGGACAACATGGGCCCAAAAGCCCTATTTTCAAGATTTTCCCAAAATTTGTCTCAATTGGGCGACTTAATTTGAAATCAAATTGTGCAATTGGATGGGTTATGATTCAAATTAATATTTTGAATAATTTGATTTGCTTTGACGATGGATTATTATGACCTCCAACGTTGGCCCTAATCAAAATTAAGGTACTAAAAATCATAATTTAAGTCCAATTCGGACTCATGTACAGTCCAACGGTAAGAATTATTTGGAATGTTAAGAGATGATAAAATTCCATCTTTGAGCTGGATGTGGGGTCTTTGAAACTCCTTAATTTTATCTACACACGGGCTTGATGAATCCCAAATAATGAAAAATAGCTGAAATAGGAGATGAAATAAAAATGTGGTATGTACAATAATAATAAAAAATGATTAAAACAAAATTGTCAAAACAAAAGGAAGATTTATCTTATCCAATTTTGTTTTGTTTTTATTTATATTTTTTTGCAACTGAAGAGTTTCAATGAATTGTTAAATCGAAAATCTCTCATTCAATAGACACACTTGAGTAACTCAACCGAGTCTTGCATCACTTATCTAACATTTGTTCAAACGTTTCGACCTTAAGGTCAATTATTTATTTTGCAAAAAAATGACAAACTCTCCGTACTAGCCAATAGATTAATAAGATCTCAAAGTTTATGAATGTAAAAATAAATCAATACTTAATGAGTAGTGCTTCTCGCGCTACGGAGTTTTAGTATATTACCTAATCGAATGTTTGTGATTGGTTAGTTATGCAAAATACAAGCAAATGGAGGACTTCACTCCCATATTTATTAAATAGATAATCAATTAAAAATAATAGGTCGGACAATTCTGGTGTAAAAATCATTTTCCATACTTAATTCAATGATCAACTCTTATCAAAAGAGGGCTTTAAATGAAGGTCATTAATCATAAATTTCCAAGGAGGTCAAATCTGAATATAGGAGGGGGATCCTAAAAGAGCCTATAGCCCAAAAGCTTGCTGGAGCTTGCACGGCCCAAGAACAAAAACTAGATAGGTAGGCCTGGACCTAGCCCATGAATAGGCCCAATTACTGCTCTCTCCTCAGGGGGAGATGATTCTTTCTTTTGGTAGAATAGAGGAGAGGAATTTTAGTGCATAGATTAATTGGTACAGTATTTTTCTTAAAAAATGTGATTCTTTTTATTAATGCAAATGGTGACATGTCAACTGAACATTAAAACCTAACATCTTATTCTTCTTTTTTAATTTTTAATTTTTAATTTTAACAACCAAATGAATATTTGAATTATCTAAAAGAATATAAACAAACAGAACTCTACCTACACTGTTCACATAGTTCATTGAAAATAAACCTTATCCAGTTCTGATCCCGCCAGTATAGAAAAATGAGAATGATAGCCCCATATAATAGATTGCATAAAAAGATCATGCCGAATAAACTCATCACAGCATAGCACAGTCTAAATGCATCGACAAGAATTCAAATTAACTAAAACATATATACTAGCACAATCCATATAGCCAAGATATATAAATATATATATAAGCAGTTTAGAACAACAGTACAGGAAACTGCAGTAGTCCCCATTAAACCACAAACTGCACATAGCTCTCAAGCGATTCACCAGAAAAGTGCATTCAATTATTCACCTAATATTGGGAGGACACACAGTTCTCTCTTCCCTGAGGGACTTCCAGTCTCCCAATTGGATCTCGTCCTGATTTTTGGCAGCACGAACACATCCATGAGGAAAGTGGATGATCCGAAATACTTCCGCGTAATATAAACAGCAAAAATTTGAAGTAGAGGTTCTGCTGATAGCTGCAGCAACCGCACTCTGCACTCCCAACAATAGCAAAACTATTTGGTGCAGTGCAAGTTGTAACCCATTCTACTTTCGAGAAAATCAAGGACTTCTTTGTGAAACAAGAGCAAGACCTTGATCACATGCATCAATAGTCACTTGGGGACATCTTATGGAAGTGGCTTGCCACTAGTAGTTGATGTTCTAGCTGAAGTTAAAGCTGAGAGTAAATGCCCTTCCACATCAAGGGTTAAATTCCATTTTATTCCCAATCCTTATAGCAATTTGAGCAAAATAATAGGGTGGTGTACAAGTGATTCAAGATTCGAAAACTTCAAAAAATACTTATCAGGAGTAAAATCGTAGATAATAACAATTTCATCCTCGATGGCAACTGAAAATGCATTTCAGTATCGGTTTTTCAAAACCAACCTGACTGGAGTTCTTAGATTTCCTAAAAAGAGCATCTTCAACTTTCTGCTACACAAACCTTATCACCCATTTTTCCATGTCAATATGCATATTAATCCTTTGTTTGGTGGAGCAGAGGGAGGTGGAAGCCTCCTGTGCCCTTCCTTCCAAAAGTTGGGCGAAAAGAGGAGGGAAGCATCTGGATCCTTCTCGCTTAAAAGGTATAATGGTCAAATCACACTAAATCCTTTCCCTCCCTTGTTCATTTCCTTTCTATTTAACCAAACAACATGAGATAAATACACCATTTCTTTCCTTAAGGACACCTCTTTCATTCCTGCTACCTTTGCTTTCTTCCAAATTTCCATCCTTAATAGCGATCGGAGCATAGGGGTAGCTCAGCCAAGGGACAAAATGTACTCACAAACCTAGGCAAGATCAACCATATCAATACAAAAGAAAAAAAGTAACAGAAACAAAAAGGAAAGAACAAAGGGAAAGGTAAAGTTTTCTAAAGTAATTGTTCTTCAAGTGTGTTCCTTAATGAAAAATAAATAAATAAATAAAAATAAAAAGAAAGAAAGAAAGAAAGAAGGAAAAGGCACAATGGATCCATGTATCAAGAGATGTCAGACATACTATACATCCAAACTCTGCAAAAGATATGAAAAATAAGGTGAGAATATAAGAAATTTTAGCTCAATCCTAAAAGAAGGGGCAACATGCTATTAAGTACAATTAAGAAATAAATTGTGTTCAACTATATGTAAAAACATCTTATTAAACGCTCCTATGTCCCTGAAGTGCTTGTATTCTTAACCATCCATTTCATTCGAGTATCTCCCAATTTTATTTTATTATGAAAAAGTAACAGAAAAACAACAATAGTCTTCAAACATGATAGCCACCATTGCACATTATCAAGTTGTATTTAACCATCAATGTACACTTCAAGTTGTAATTGAACCATAAGAATATGTTCACTTACAACCACCCATTCTTCAGTAAGCATTGCAGTGGAAAAGAAACAATATTGAACAGAAGAGTCCTAATAAGAGTTGATTTCAAACAAATTGAAAGATGGATCATATGACCCAAAACCAAGATATAACTGAACCAATTGCCAGGCCAACAACTAGGAACAAAACCATCACAATTCCCGCACTCTCTGCATGTTGTAGCTGCACAATTTTGGGAGCCAAAATCATTAACACACTGGTCAAGTAGCCGTTGGTAAGGCCCAAAAGGCATGTCAACACTGTCACTGGAATCTCCGTTCGAAAGAAGCTAGGACCATGCAAGCAACCTAAGAAGAGGGGCAAAAACAGCAACCTGGCGAAAGAAGCACCAATTGCAACCTTTGCATTCTCAAGGGTATAGAGTGCAGTCACAGACTTGCCAACCAGATCAAACACATTGTAGCCGGTAATTAGGAGAATTGGGTACCAATCCTTGAGAATCTGGGAATGCACATCCTCTGTAATATAACCCGGAAATATACACAATGTAACGACATAGATGATGAGGATCCCAAACCCATACCACTTCACCCTCCCCACAATGTCCCACAGGGCCGATCTCCATAGTGCCTCAGCCAGGACACCTTTCTCTTCTCTTTCCTCATTTACAGCCTGTATCTTCAACTCGTTATAGTACTTTATAACTGGAAGTCTAGGAGCCACGTTGTAGAAAACAGTACATATGATCATCACGACAATACTGACAATGAAATAAAGATTTGCACTTTGTCTCAGTCCTTGAGTGTCTTGTGAATATACAGCTTTGGTAAAGATCCTTAGAAATGAAACAAGGACTCCTGCAGTCCACAATATAATAGATTAAAATGAGTTATTTGTATGAGGTGACAGAATAATATGTGCAAAATACTTTTTCCTGTCCATCTTGACATGTTCAAAACTTACTGTCATAACAAATATATACAAAACAGGTTAAGACAGTTAACAAAATAATTTTTTTTTCTTCTTCTTAGTTGGTACTCACACACACATGCCTCCATCGAGGCTCAAACCCCAGACCTCCCTTTGGGAAATAGGAGCCTAGTACCGCTAGGCCACTGGCTTGTTGGTGTTAACAAAATAATTGAGTTCCCTTCCTTAATAATTATTAAGATGAAAAACTGAATTGTGATCTGCCTACTATGTTGACCTTAGTTCATCATTTCTGCTCTGACCAAGGATTTGAACACTTGTGCTTTGTTTGGTAGGAGGAATGGAAAAACGGAGGGAAGAGATACAAGGAAGGATGGAAGAGACATCCCTGAGGGGAGGCAGTTGCCCATCCATCATTTTGTTTGGTGTGGATGCAACGGAAAGGAGGTGATCCCTTCCTCTATTTGGTAGGAGGGGAGGAAAGAGATTACCTTGAACATATTTTACCGATTTATCTCTCCATGGCATTTTAGCAAATTAATTTATAGGTAATTAAAGGGAATTTTATTTCATATCTATGCAATAGTTTTTCCTTCTTTCCCTCTCATTTCTGCCCATTTTTGGAGGGACGGCAAAAGGATAGATTTAGAGGTAAACCTGTAAATGAATTAGATTCATACCAAAATTAGGCTTGATCTGATCCGAATCCGATAAGGTTATTTTATTACCAATTCGATAACCAAACGATTTACTTATGAATGAATCCATTTCGGATATCCGATCTGTTAGGGTCTAAGAAGCACGGACACGGATACAACACCGAACGGCACGAACACGGCAACACGGCAAATCAAAAAAAATTAGGAAACGGACACGGCGGGGACACAACGAATAGTATATCTATATATATATATATATATATATATATATATATATATGATGTAGTACTTGAAAAATTATTGAGTGTTACTATTTTTCATGAACCTCACAATGAAAAAAATAAATAAATCATAAGTCATAACTAATAAACTATAAAAGAACAATGTTGTAGAGTTATAAAACCAAATAAAAAACAAGACATTAGAATAATAACTAGTATCATTTAATTACAAGTTTAAAATTATTATGTACTGACCACATAAGTGAGTAAAAGTTGTTAAATAATTTCACATATTTATACTTTAACCCAATTTTCTTTCAAAAATTATCTTTTAGACCCCCGAAAATAGGATACACGTGTCGAACACACACCCCTGGCATGTCAGACTGTGTCTGCGGAGTGTTCTAAAAAAAAAAAATTCCAGACGCGTTTTTTGGTGTGTCCGGCACTTGTCGGGGCGTGTCTGACGTCGGACACGGATTCTTCGCCCATTTTGGCATGTCCGTGCTTCCTAGGTTAGGGTGTATTTTCTTGTCAAAAAAATAAAAGTAAGAAAATAGAAAAAAAAATTGGAGAAGAAAAATAAAAATTTAACGAAGAAAATAAGAAAATTAGGTATTTGACTCTTTGTTTAAAGGGGACAAAAAGGGAAGAGGAAAAAATAATGTTAAAAACATTTTGATACTATGTAAATAGTAAATCGTATAGGTTATAAATAATATATTTTTATCATATTTTATTATATTATGTCGGAATGAATTATTATCGGATTGGATCGATCATAATCCAAATCCGGTTTAGCGAACAGATTATTGAAATCGGATCGTTAATGGATTATTAGATTAAATGTTCAATCTATATTCTAGACTTCAACTTATTGGATTGGTTTTGGATTGAAATTTGATCCATTGGCAGGTTTATCCAGAGGGATGTCTTGTCCATCCTTTCTCCCTCCCTCTCTTCCCTACCCTTCCAAAGAAACAATCAAAGCATCCTCCTCCTTTCCTTTCTTACATCCTTCCTTCCAAAAAACAAGACATTATAGTAGAGTCTGAGTCTTTCCCATTTTTAAAAATGTAGTATGATCTGGCCATCTTATAGTGATCCTACCTCACTAACATTACTATTTACTCCAATACTTTCACTCCACATGGTGCTTCCACATAATCATATAAATTTAGATACTAATAAACCAAGTTCAAAAACTGTAATTACAATGGAACACAAAAATGTCTCCCCCCTTGCCTACATTTTTGAGAATTACTGTGTCCAAACATCATATCTTTGCCCATGAAATATCTGGTATAACTTCAACAGATACAGATTTAATTGCAAAATATCATGCCACAAGTAATCAGTGAATACCAAATGATTGTTATTAAGGACAGGATCTCTACTCTCTAGAGCCAATAATAAATAAATAAGTAGAAAAGCTACTGTCAAATAACAACAGACTTCCTAACAGAAAAATAGACAATAAAGCAATAGGCATCTTTAATTTTGCCTCTTCGTGTTCATTACTAAGATTTGTTAAGTATCCAACTCAAATTAATAAATAAACATATTAGCTTCTTTCTTTCTTGGTTTAACTGCAAAAAGCACCCTCATTATATGTATATAGTGCATATAAGTCCTAGTTTGGTAAACACCCCTAACCTTCACTTTTGGAGCAAATGAGGTTCTCACATTTGACATAAAAAAAAAATAAAAAATTACAAAAGACGGAAAAGGATAATCTCTCTCTCGTCTCCTCTCTCTCACATACTTGATCCAAATCCATCTTTCTAGGGTCGAAGTGTGGAACAAAGTTCTCTTGATCTAGACCAGATCGGTGATTGTGTTAAAGCCATTGAATGGAGAAGAAAAATCGATCAGGATGTGGCTAGAGTTTAAGAGATCAACATCAAATTTGAGCTCATATTCAATCGTAATCAAGGATAACAGTGTCTTAGGGCTAGGGTTTTGGTGGTGAAACGGTAATTTCTTTGACAAAGAGTGATGACAAGTTTCAATCATCTCAAAGGATCATGTCCAAGTAAAGTATTGATCGGATTTCTCATCTACAACTCCATGCATGCAATACTCTGGAGCTAAGTATCCAAATGTACCCTCAATCAGAATCACAAATGGTGAGCCCACTTATTAAGAATTTGCAAGACCAAAGTCTGAAATCTGTGGCGAGATGTAAGCCCGAGTGAACAAAAGTACATCATAATACTATGTGTTTCACAAAAATCACAAAAGTTTCTTTGTTTATACATGCGCAGTTTAACCACTCCTCCGAGGGGTTCGAGCCCCATTCTTGGCATTTGTGCGTGTGCCTGAGTATTTAACAAAAAAAAAAAAAACAATGTTTTTTTTTTTTTTAGTAGAGTCTCATACATGATAATACATGATGTTGTCCCAATTGATTCCAGAATTGATTGTTATCTAAATCATTTTGTATCATCCTGGATTCAACCAAACATGAGAGGGAAAGAAATTAAGAGAGACAGAGAGAGCAAATATACATGTATATATACTGACGTAGCTGTGGACCTAGTAGAAAATTTCCCAAAACATTTGGGAATCCCTAAAAGGGAAAGAAGCGAAGGAAGGGCAAGGAGAAACAGTTCCAGCTAGTTTTGATTTAATTTAAAATTTCCGGAAACTTCCTTTTTGGGGTGTTCCCTAAAGTCCAACAGCTGATAATTGCATCCATATAAATTTGAATTAACCAAAACAACAACACAATTAACAAAATCAAGATTTCTCAAAACACTAAAATCAACAACCCTAATCCCCAATCAAACCCACCACATTTTTCAGCCAAAATAGTACCTGAAGCCGCAGTCCCTGCCACGACGGCCTGCATATACCTCTCCGGCAACTCTCCAGCGGCCCCAATGACCCCACCCTGCACCAGCGCGTCGGCGAGACCCGAAAGCGCCACCGCAGCCACCGTGACATAGAACCCAGCGTACAGCCCAGTCTGGCCCTTAATGTAGGTCACGTCCATGACGGGTACGACGAGGAGGGCCACCACGAAGAGGCCGAGACCGACATTGATCCGAACCGAGGAGTTGGACTTGTTTGAATAGGCGACTATGAAGAGGAGGCAGATCAGGCCGACGATCATGTAGACGACGGCGAAGATGCGGTCGACGGAGGCGTCGGGGTAGAGGTAGGAGAAGTAATCGACGGCGGTGATGAAGGCGTTCCATGGGAGGAGGTAGCCGGTGCCGAGTGTGAAGTAGATACAGTAGGCCAAGTGGAAGGAGTCGTTGGGGATTTTGGGATTGGTGGAAGGGTTTGTGGTCAGAAGGGGAGAGGTGTCTCGATCTACGGCCCCCGAGTCGGTGGCGACGCCGCCGGTACCCATCGGAGATTTTCTCTCTCTATATATAGTATATGTATATATATATGTGTGTGTAATGTGTGGCTGTTCCTGGCGGCCGGAGGATACGGCCGACGTGGTTTTGTGCTAGTGGTTAAAGGTGACGGGCCAGACGAAAGAGCGTAATCGATTGATATGGCACATCTGGGTGTGACGTCGTCGTTTTGACTTTACTTTTCGACTTCGAAAGAAGCACATGTACCGCATTTGATTGAAATTCAAATGCTACTTGTCTACACTCAACACAGAGGAAGAAGAAGAAAAAATATAAAAAAAGTATCAAACACTCTGCATATTCTTTTATTCTTTATACTCCGTATATATGTACTCTGACACAAGCAAGTTTTTTAATTAAGGGGAAAAAAAAAAATACATTTGGTAGTTAAACAAATTTACCTAAAAAGTTAATGTCTTCAAAGCTTGTTGATTCAAAATTTATAAATTTGTAAATGAAATTGTACGAAAATAACTTAGTTGGATAAGAGTTTCTCGTAAAATTTAGAGGGTCACAAGTAGGGTGCCTAAGCTTTGACCTACTAACATAATCTAAACAAAAATTAAATAAAGGATAAATTGAAAGGCCTACTTCTCTAATGCAATTCTTACATATTGAAAAAAGGGTAAACAACAACTACGTACTGAAATATAAATTTTTACTTTTATTTTTATAATTTTTACCATGCTATTTTCTTTTCCCAGAAATTAAGCTAAGACTTTGTCATTTTTTTCATACGAGTTCTATGTTTTAAAATTATTGTGTGCGCACACACACGCACACGCACGCGCGCGCACACACACACACTAAAACTGTGTCTTTTTATTTTATTTTTATTAAACATGTTGATATTGCACACACACACACTAAAACTGTGTCATTTTATTTTATTTTTATTAAACATGTTGATATTGCACGCACGCACGCGCGCGCGCGCACACATTAAAACTGTGTCTTTTTATTTTATTTTTATTAAACATGTTGATATTGCAATTGATACGGATGAAGATGTCATTGTTTTGTAACTGATGATAGAATTTTTTTCTCATAATGTTTATCATGCTATTTTTTCAGTAATTAAGCTAGGACTTTGCCATTTTTTTTTCATACTAGTTCCATGTTCTAAAATTATTGTGTATAATATATATTTTATTCTCCAATCACAGTTATATATTCTAATTTCTCGTTCTTAACCAACTTGAATGGAGGAAAAAAAATAAAAATAAAAATAAAAACTTGAATGGTACATTCTGATTTGGGTATATTAAACCACTTGATATATCCGCACACCCATTATCTATTCCATAAAAAATGTCTATTTTTGTACACACTAATAATATTTAAAAAGCGTCCACACTGAAAATGTTTCTCCTTATCTTACATTTCAATATTTTTGATTAATTTAAGTAGAAAAAGAAATTGGTAGATTTAATAATTTTGAATAAGAATATAGAGAACAACTAAATTGCATTAAACCTCAATAAAAATAAATACCCCGATACTATTAAAAAGTGACAAACTGCACCCTAACTCTAATGTTCATTCAAGCGTTGGGAGAGCAAAATTCCATATATCATAAAAATCTGGTAGACATGCAAATTTAGCATTCGGATGTAATTTTGTTAAAAAACACCTGTTCGTGATTAAATCCAATCATGACACTAACACCACCCTCTGCAGTCGCCGCCACCGCGGCCGCCGCCGCTTTGCAGTCTATTAGAGATTTTATATCAATTTTTGGAATGGTTGACCCGCCAGCCACTTTCAATGCTTGCTTGTTGGCTTGTCAAAGAACACAAACACGCTAGCTGTATATGGACTAGATTTCCAATTTTTGTTTGGGAGAATCTTTAGCAAAACGCACTCTTGTATTTTATGTTGTTTGACTAGGCTAACGTGCCATTCATGTTAGTAATATTGTGATTAGTATTGGGCCTTTTGGTCACTACTCATTGCGAATATGGGTTTATGATCTGCCTAGCGAATCCAGAGTCTTTACAAGGTAATAGTACTACCCAAACTTGTACTCCAAGCTAACTAGGCCCAGCTCCACAACTAGATTCAACATTGGACTCCAGAAACATGTGAGAGAGATTGTGGGCCACCTCAGGCCCATTTCGAATCTGATTTAGGTCAAGTTCACTCATAAACACCCGGGTCTGTTCAAAGTTCGTTTTGATAGATCACTCACAAGTTCAACTAGCAACTGCTCAAAGACTAGTTTGGCTTCTCATGCTTTCAAACCCTCGAAGATTAAATCATTAGAGTGGATTTTTAAATTTTGTTTTCTCCATTTTATTTTTTCATTTACTTTCGTGTTCGGTTCGTGTGGGCCTGGGTGGGGGTCAAGTGCTCGAAAATTTTTCTCGGCACTATTCATTTATCCCATTGGCATCACATTCATTATTTATGACATGTTGGGGGTTTATTTTACAACTACAATAGCAACAACAATAATAACCACAATAGCAACAACAACAACAAACCCGAAACCCTAAACCCAAACTAAAAAGCCCAAAACCCAAAACCCCAAATCTCAAACTCCAAACTGGAATCCATCGTTTGTAGTTTCAAATGGGACCTCATTCGTTGCAAAAGCAACTGGACCATCCCTTTAGAACGGTTCTGACACGCTAGTGCTCACCACAATCGGAACACCGCCTCAGGCCGAGAAACTTTTATGCAGCTTTCTTCACGAACGGTATTGAGTAATGCTCACAAGACCCTGAGCTTTCCATTTAATCAATGAAGTCAAAGATATATTAAATCATTGATTTGAATTTTCATAAATGTCTAAACATACATCAATTAAGTAGTTAAATATGAAGAGCCGTGGCTCTTCTCAGAAGGAACTCTCTTGAGAGCATTACTCTAATGTACATAAGTAAGTATGATTGTTTTTGAAAACCAGGCCTTTTAATTTCTTTTGATTATTTTCTTGATAAATAATTCTAATGGATATCATATGCACAAAAAATATTCAAATTCTCTGCCATAGCATTTTAGGTGATGTAGATGCACTCAATACACTAAAACATGTTTCAACATTATTATATCAAGCTCGAATTAATGGTGTTGAACCATAATTTAGTGCTTTAAAAAGAGAATTCAACGCCATTATTTTGAGATTTAAGACAATTATTTTGAGTCTTGAAATAGTTGCGTTGAAATCTCGAAATAAAATAACTGTGTTGAGTATCGATTCTATTTTGAGATACAACACAGTTAGTTCGAGTCTCGAAATAATCGTGTTGAGGTATGATTTAATGTGTCGAAATCTTCAATGCCATTGTTTTAAGTTTCAACATAATTATATCCGAGACTCGAAATTATTGTGTTGAACAATGACATAATATTATTTTGAGTTTTTAACACAATTATTTTGAATCTAAAATTAATGATGTTAAATTACAATTTAGTAAGTTTGGCGAACTGCAGCATAATAAACAATGAAACAGAGATTCAAAGAATCCTCCTCCATACACAAAAAGATTGTTAAATTTGGGATTAGGAGGCACACACGCGGTGCAGGCCGATCCAATGAATCATTGACATTTTATATAATGTGACTAGCATATGAGTATATATTAGGTGTGTCGAGATATCTATCATTAGCATGTCCATTCAATATACTCGCAAAATTGAATCAAATTCATTGGCATAAAAACTACCCTTAACTTGAGTTTATCTTCTTCAAAAGTTTATATTACCAATACATCAAAGCTTAATTGCTAATTAAAAATAAAAAAGGATTGTTTTAATATTGTGAACTAAATCACACAATCTTTCTTAAAAGGTCACTCTCACACTTCGAGCACGCTTCCGCTTTTATGCTTCGCACTTGCTCTCGTTCAAATTTTTACTATTTATAATATAATTTTGTCACTTTCATGCTCTCAATTTCGAATTCGTCCGCACTCTCCCTATATACGACTGAATCACTTGTGGGACCATGTGGGTGGAACCAATAGTGGATGACAATAAAGGTGAAGTCTCTAAGGCACGTATGGATGCACAAAACTATCATATCTAGATTTATTTATTTTAGTTAGCACCAAGAACGCACCTAGGCAGGGCTCCTTCGTAATCCACCCTAGATTACAAACTTAAGGGTGCAGAACCTTACCCCAAAGATACACCGGATAAATTAGAAAAATTGAAAGACTTAGTAAGAGTCGAACACTGGCCGATTAGATGCCAGCCCCGAACTCTTACCATCAGTGCCAAGCCCCCGAGGGGCATCTTATCTAGATTTTTTTGATCTCCCTCCACTAACAAAAATCCAACTAATAAGCACAAATCATAGTAAATATTGTTTCTGTTTTTGCTGTTATTTGGTTGTAATTTGACACAGGAGCATAGAGTCAAATATTCTAGAAATCAACGTCACCTTTCTTATTCCTAACTATTCCTTGTCCGGCAATTGTCGTTTATTCTCTTCATTTAGACATTATATAATATACTTTAAATCTATATGGTCTATTGGTGATTGTTTATTCTTAGAAAGTCAAGAACCCTTTATTTGATAATGAAAAATATGCCAAAATTTGACATTAATAAAACTAAATAACTCTGTCCAACACCCTATGATCATTATTTAAATACAAAAAATAAACTCCAGACCCTTTACAGCCATTTGCCTCACATTTATCTCAAGTTCATAAATGATGTGTACTGGGAGTCCCCTTTAAAAAATTAAATTTTGGATAAATTATACTGACACCCTTAATATTTGGACAAATTATAAGTAGGTAGATCGTTTAACGCTTATTACTTTGACCTTTCCTAAGAATTGACGCATGTGCTCAACGATTTTTTTTTCGACATGCCTATTGACCAAATTTTATTAAATGACAATTTTGTTCTTTCCTGATAAAAAATGCAATATATTATTACTACAATATAAGGGCATTATTGATGTTAATGCCCTTATAAGGGCATTTTGATTATCGATGAACGGGTTTAGAAGAGGTTAAAGTAATAAACATTGAACGATTTACTACTGTGTATAATTTGCCCAAACTTCAAAAGAGTTCAAAGGAATTCACCCTTTAATTAGAATACAATTCTTCATCACAGCTTGTCTCTTCTTAGCAACTCATTCTTGATATGAATGAAATGTCCTACCCCAAATACGCATGTATCCAATGATCTCCTTTTCTAGGTTTACTTTTGTGCCAAAATCAAAAACATTCTTTATATATATGTATATAGATATTGGGAATGATTCCAAGCATCATTCCAAGTTACAAAATCTATTGTTCATTTGATTCTGTTTGAGCCATTTTTTCAAAAGAAAAAGCATTTGTGAAGAAAGTAGACCGTCTCCTCTTAGCAACTCATTCTTGACATAAATGAAATGTCCAACCCCAAATACCCATATATCCAATGATCTCCTTTTCTAGATTCACTTTTGTGCCAAAATCAAAGAATTCCAAGTTACAAAATCTATTGTTCATTTGATTCTGTTTGAGCCTTTTTTCAAGAAAAAACATGTTTGAAGAAAGTGGTTGTCCTATTTTCTGTGCTCATGTCAATGATAGAAATTTTACTGTAAACCTATCTTTTCTTTGCTCTCGACCAAGATATCTCATGTAAACAACCATTCTTCTGAAGAGTTTTCACAGTACCAAGGCAGTAATGGATCAAAAATTGACCTTCTTTTTTGTATTCATCATCTCCATATTCATCACAACTAACTTTGTGATCTCTCAGACTTCTGATTGCATCACAGATATTCAGCTTTATTCATCTTGGAGTGACTCAAATTGCATAGAAGGCAATTGGGGTGGGTTTTTGAGCCACAGCTGCTGTGGATTAGCTTTTGATGGATATCTCTATGCGTTGGCACACCATGCCAATCAAACCGGACTTATATTCCTGAATTCCACGGAGCAAAAGGACTGTTTAGCTTCAATGAAGAGTAACGAAGCAGATGTTTTGAGCTGTGGTGCGGAGAAGCTGATCAGTGGAGCTGGTGGCTGCTCTGACTATTCTGTTTCGGATGTTGTCAATAACCTCGGAAATAGATTGACAAGTTTGGGCAAAGATTGCAAGGTTTTGGGGAAAGATAATCAGTCAGATAAGGGTTGCAGTGATTGTTTGAGGAGGTGGGAAGAAATGAGTGCCTCATCAACTAGTAGCAAAATGAGGGTTGAATCAGACATTTGTAGGTTTGCAGTGCTAATTACATTCACAAGCAAAAGGATTGATGATGATACATGGGTTAAGGCACTTTATGTATGTCTTGGGGAGCAAAGCCTTCCAAGTGGTAAGATTTAAACACTTTCGAGTTCAATTTTGCTTTCGTTTTTTTTTCATGATTTTATATGAACCTTGATCGATCATTTTCAATCTAGCCTCTTCGACAGCTGATCCAGGAAAAAAGGAACAGAAAAACCGAAGAGGTAATTCCAATCAACAATAGTCATCATCCCCCATACTAGTTTTGATTAATTATGTTGATGTCTTAGTCTTTTGTTTTGTTTATTATACTTAAACTTTGGACAACTTTCTTGATGGTTTCAGGTTTATGGATTCTGATAGGAGGTATTGGAGGGATTATAATAATAGTGATTGTTGCATCATGGATCTTGTTCAGAAAATCAATAAAAGCCAAACTGCAAAAGGAGGAAAATGGTATACATCTTACCGATATTAGTTTACATATATATTCGTAATTGATTACATTTGTGACTTGTTTGCTTTCGTGTTTTGGTTGGCAGCATCGGAAGATTCACCACCTGAAGAAGCCAGCTCTCTTAAGATATCGATTAAGGAAATTTATAATGCTACGAACAATCTTAGTATGTCAAACTTCATCGGCCAAGGAATAGCTGGTAAGTATTTGTATGCAGCTAATTTAATCAAGATTAAAGATTGATGTATCGTCAGTGATGTTTAGAAAAGACTAAAGAGGGTAGCAGCTAGTTATACAAAGTTGTGGATGTCAATCAGGATTGGGGAATCTTGTGTGCTCGAAAACGAAAGTAAACATACTGAACATTTTTCGAATTTCAGAAATAGAATGTATATAGAAAATGGATTTTTCTCGGTTTCTTTAGTGGGAGAATAGTTTCTGCTAAATCTACAAGCTCCATGGTGCAGCTTGAACTGTCACCATGCATCTAATGCGCACATCAAAGTTTGAGCTTTGAACCTCAAAGGCTTTGGGTGGTGGCGCTAAGCCATGGATGTAGATCTCACACACCTTCTAGATTGATTTGAAAACACAAACCATGTATGGTAAAACCATATGTTCTAGATATATCGACATATATAAAGCCTATTTGATATGTAGAAGCTCATGCCAAAGCAACATAATCAGAGGAATTGTGCTTTTCCTATGTTGGATTTTGACAGTGATGTTACGATTTTACCAGGAAAGGTGTACAAAGGCATACTGTCAAATGGTCAGGACATTGCAGTTAAGCAAATACTCGATGATGGACACATGGACACATTCATCCGCGAAGTTACAAGCCTCTCACACGTCAAACATCCGAACCTGGTAGCTTTGCTAGGCCATTGCGAGGGAGAAGATGAGTGTTTTCTTGTTTACGAGCTGTGTCACAAAGGGAACCTCTCGGAATGGCTATTTGGTATATGCTACTCTCTCCATTTTATAAAGTTTTGCATTGTTCGGTTCTTTCGCATAGGACGATGGACCTCAATGGGAAAAATTGATGAATAACAGGTAAAGAAAAAAATCTATCTTGGATCCAAAGAATTGAGATTGCAATAGATTGTGCTAGAGGGCTCTGGTTTCTCCACACATATCCCGAAGGCTGCATTGTTCACCGCGACATTAAGGCAGATTCATCACTCTTGTTGTCCTTTTCTTTTCCATTTTCCTCCATTTTCTAACCAAGATTCCAATATTTTGTTCAGTCTTCTTCATTTTTTGTCTTAAACTTTTGGCAGCCAACGAATATTCTTCTCTGCTCTAATTTTCAAGGGAAACTGTCAGACTTTGGGTTATCCAAAGTTATGGACTTGGGCCAGTCCTTTGTGAGCTCAGAAGTAAGAGGAACATTTGGTTATGTCGATCCTGAGTACCAAGACAACCGCCATGTTAATGCCTCAGGCGACGTTTACAGCTTTGGAATGGTACTTTTACAACTTCTATCGGGTCAGGGGGTTATTAATCTGGATCGGAAGAGACCAATGCCTATCGATAAAATGGTGACAAACAAAATTCTCATCACTTTAGGGTTTTATATATCTAGAAGTTAATTTCAAGTTTTCAACTAACGATTCCCACTTATCATTGCTTTTCAGGCAAAAGTCCTTACAAGAGGTGGGAATATAACAGAATTTGCTGACTCGAAGCTCAATGGGGAGTACTCGGTCGAAGCTTTTGCATTCATCCTCAAGTTAGCTTTGTCATGCACAGGGCCTAAGCAGCAAAGGCCATCAATGGAACAAGTGGTTGCAAGACTAGAGAAGGCTCTTGACATTTCAACAACACTGAATTCTACACGTCCTAGTCCTAGCACTACATGAAATGTTGCTTCTTTTTTATAAAATAATTCTTGATTATAGTGAAACATATGAACACGATTTTCGTATCATTTTATTAGCATATTACAGATTCGAATCATTATGCAGCATATTATTGTACAAAGCTTAATAAAATAACAACTATAAAAAACAGTAGCTGAATTGGTGAATAGCTCTAGCAGATGCAAAGTCGCTCAAGTGATGTTTATTTATGTGAGAATATGCTTAAAAAAACACACAAGTCATTGCTCAACTTGATTAAAAATAAAATTCTTATTGAAACTTATCAATGATGACATTTACATTATAATACAATCATATCGTTATTAGCATGAGAACAAAGAATCATAACACAACTATAATTTTGTACAAAGCTTCATTGAAAAAAACAGAAGCTGGTGTAGTAATTAGCTCTTCAAAAAACCAAGCTAATGTCAAGACTCGAAACCGAAAATGTAAACAAGCATCTTTGCATACTTACATAAGCAAACGCTTGGTCAAAAGAATCAAATCAATACAAGAAAACTAAATTGAGGTTACCACACGTGAACGAATTGTTCTCGAGAAAGAGCATGAGCCATGAATCCAGAAGAGCTTCTTTCATGGAATTCATGTAGAATTCTGATAAGTGAACTGGCCTTCTTACTAGCACGAGATGTGCCTTCGGTGAGTACGGAATACAATGGTCCCATGAGAGATGAGTTCTTCACTAAAAATTGAACAACTTCAGCCCCACCATTGACACACAAAGCCAGCAACAATGACACACAGTACTCCTTCCCTGCCCTTGAAGTGGAGGAACTTAGAGTCCCCATGATGGTATGCAGAGCTCCGGTGCTTAAAATCGCAAATGTCCCATCAGATTTCTGTGCTAGGGTTGCTAGAACTGCGAGAGAATCCGTTATAAGATCTTCCCTTTCGAAAGACGTCAAAAGACTAAGTAGCAATGGGACTAATCCAGCTCCAAGGACCCTCCAATGGTTGTTAGGGTCCATAAGGAGCCCAAAAATCGCAACCAATGCGTTTTTCTTCCCACGGTCAGTCCCATCCCGGAGGAGCTCCATTAGAGATGGAATAACCTCCGGAATCTCCCCTATAAGTATCCGGTACTCCTCCACCGAAGCAAGGTAAAAAAGGGTACCTGCGGCGTGCTGTCTAGCTTCCATCTTTAGCCCCTCTTTGAGGACCTTAAGAATGAACTCAAGACCACCATTTTCAACTACAATTGTTTTGCCTTTTGAATGCTTTGACATGTTCAAAAGGGCTGCAATGGCATTCTCTTGGGCTAATGCCTCTTTTGAAGAGAGCAAATTCAACAAATATGGGATTGTCCCAGCATCCAAAAAACAAGACCTATTGAAAATGCTTGATTTAGTGAGCAAACGGACCTCATAAGCAGCCTTTTTCTTCTCTTCCTCCGTCCCAACCACGAGCCTGCCAACGAGAAAATTGGCTAACATTTTCATGGCTGCCTCAGCTACTGGACTACCCGGAAGAACTGTCCGGGTTATGTCCCGTTTTCTACCACCCGAATCAGCCACCGGAATGCCATTACCGGAGCAATATTCCACGATTAACCGCTTCAGCGCCAAATTGGGGACTAGCTCTGTGCTTGTGAGCTTCTCACCAGTCTTGGGACAAGTTGCATTTCCAGCTCTAAACCATTGTAGGATTGATGACCTATCATATGTGTGCCCTGTCTCTATTGTCACTGGCTCAGTCATGTACTCTAGTGAGATTGGGCACCTCAGGTCATCTGGGTTGAGGCCACTGACCACGTTGCCACTGCGCCGACTAGTGGATCGTCTACCGGTAATGTCTCCAACGATGTCGAAGGACACGGCACGACAGTAGCTCATGAACGACATTACGCTATTGAGAAACCCCAATTCTCTCTTTTCGGCAGTCAAGTACTCCAACCCAATTTCATTGTCCAAGAACTTGATCTCTCTATCGCATTCGACCCAACTTCGAACCCCCAAGTAATCAAGAACCCATCTTAGATCACTTGATTTCGGAACAATTTGATCCTCAATTTGCCCCAAAATTGAAACAACATTCTTCACAGACAATTCATCAAACGGGTCGACTTCAAACTTCAGTTTTCGAGCTTGCCACATCACCAATTCAATTGATTCTCTCACTTCAACCGAAACATCGATTAAGCCCAGAGGAAGAACATCCAGAATCGTCGCCATCGCTCTGATCAGCACCCGGAACTGCCCCGACACTCGCTCGGACCGCATTAGCATCCACAACCGAGCACCGTCGCGCGTGCAATCTTCCAACAAGTAGTGAATCTTCTGGAAGATGAAATGGAGCTCAGACAAGCTCAAAACAGCCGAATCGGAGAGACCCAGTTGCCGGACTCTGACTTCTTCCAAAAAATTCAACAGAATTCCGATTAATCGGATTGATTGCCGCGCGTTTCCCTTATTGCTAGCGAAAAAACTCGACTTGTAATCGATGATTTTCCCGGCGAGATCGATCAGGGAATTGAGAAGGGCAGCCGGAGAAACTGCTTCGCAGGGGCGGATGGCCGGAAATGTCAGAATCCGGCGACTGGACTGATCATAATTGTTGATCATTGAAGAAGAAGATGACCGAATTGAAGAAACAAAACAAGAACAATGATCGATGAGTAGAAAGGAACAAAAAGGATAAAGTTTTACTATTTTTTGAAATTTGATCCGTTAAAGGTGCTGGATCTTTGGACTTGTGGATAAATGGTGTCAGGTATGTGCTATATATAGAGATATAGATTTGTGGGTTGAGTAGTGTAATTATTGGGTGGGACACGTGTCGAAAAAGAGTGGGTTGATGATGGGTGTGGTGGGATCGGACGGTGGCTACAGTATTCGGATTAGGGCGAATATGTGGACACGTGGCAGGAGGACGCGTGAGGTGATATAGGGATTGAAAAGGGCGGCTTCAAGCCTTCAAAGAAGGTTCTGGGATGGGCGCGAATTGATGAGAGTGTGCCACGTGGAGCGAGAAGTATGGGTAGGGCTCGTGCCATGAGAATGATACGTGAAAGGACACGTAACCGACCTATATCGTGTAATAATTGATGAAAAAAATTAAATAAAAATTTATGAATCAATCTTTTTTATTCGGGTGAAGTGCAAAAATCTAACCTCAATAGAGTGCAAAATGATCATGTAAAAAATTTCCTTATATTATTGTTTCGGTGTAAATAACCCCTCTGACTTAAAATACTGTAATGTCCTCATTTAATTAGAATAAATTAATAACTAAAAAATGCCTGTCATATAAAATGACTATTTTGTCCGATTGCCAAAAGAGTTTGTTTAGAACCGGAATAAAGCAAATCACATTTTGTCTATACCAAACAACCAAACACTTTAGCTCTGGGATAAGAAACAACCAACACCAAACACTCTATCTTTCAGTTGTGTCTCACTGATTTGATAAAGAAAATTGTGGTTCGATTGAATCAAAGAGAGCTTGTCGGCTTATCTGCTCTAGCTCGCCACTGGAGCTTTTGTTGCCCTCAAAATAAATCACACCGGAGTTGTTTAGTCTTTGTATCCAGCTCGCCGAAACTGTTGATGCAGAATGAAACTCGTCGGACTTGTTCATGCAACTGTTTCTTCTCGTTGAAGTTTTTGGGTTTATCAAGCTCAGTTGGTCGTTGGTAGTCACTTTATCAGTTCTCGAAGCTGAAGGCTTTCTCAGTTGGTCTTCAAATATGTCAGCTTTTGATCGCCGATATCATGGTCGCCGGAGTTGCCTCTTCTGTGCTTTTCACACTTTTAATTGATTTATCAATTTCCTTCCAAGAGAAGTCTTGCAATACTCGCTGCACAGATTCCGTCCAAACACTTGCTGCATATTGCGTACGGTGGACAAATTTACAAGTAAAAGTCTTATAAATTTCACTAATAAGCTCCATCAGCAAAGAAAATGACCCCATAAAGAAAGTAGAAGGATAAAATCGGATTTTCATACTTACTTTTTATAAAAAAATGATTAGCGGGGCTTATTTGCACATTTTTTTAAATTTTATGAGCTAACATGCACATTTTTAAAAAATATGAACTAGTTCCGTACAAACCCTGTTTTTTTGGCACTTAAACCCTTTTTATTTTTTATTTTAACATAATTATTGCAAAGTCTTTAACTGAAATTATTATTCATTAATTATACTTCCCAATTTCAATGAACTATAAATTCTAAAGGTATAGAGCCTTGATTTCATTTCAGAGTGACGTTACCGACGTAGTGTATTTAACAAAATAAAAAACATGACATAAATAAAACTTTCAAATAGAAAGGAAAAAATTTGTTTACAAAAAAAAAAAAAAAAAAAAATTCATTGCAAAATTATATGTTAATTCGATGTGTAATATAAGAGAGAAATTCTAGAAATTAAAAGTTTAGAAATGCAGCATCATTGTAATATTATTCGTAATTGAAAAGGAAAAAGAAGATGGATTTGATTGAAGAACGGAAAAAAAATATGGTTTGATTGAATAAAGAGAATGCATTTTTGAATTAAAAAAAAAAAGAAAAAAATTTAAGACTAAAAAGAAAAGGAAAGAAAGAAAAAGGGAATGCTAATTTATTTAAAGAGAATTAAATAATAATAATAATAATTGAAGAGGATGAGGAAGAATAAGAAGAAAAAGAAAGAAATAATTAGAGATGTTTTGTACTCCTAAAAAAGATATTTAAGAGGGCAAATTGTATTCATATCTTATTATGGAAAAATATAAAAAATAAAAATAAAAATTAATGGGCTCATGACATGAAGGAATTAGAAATGATTTCAAAAATACTATAATCGACTCAATTAATATTATTATGGATACAAATACTATAAACAAATATTAATATGTATATATACACACATATACATACATACATATATGATGATAGCCCTCTCGCATAAGTTTGTGGTTCGTGAGGCAGCAATCAAACATGTGAGTATTGGGAGGTCATGGATGAAAAGTCTCCTTAATGGATATTCTTAGTTCATTAAAGTAGGGCGTTGAATTCACGTGAAGCATTATTGATTAATATACTAGGGTGTTTGATCGAGTGGTTGAGATGCTCAAAAATATTCAAAACTATATACTTAATCAACGGCTTGATTGATAAGCTGACCGGACTACATACTTAATCAACGGCTTTTGTGAGGTCAAACTATCAACACTCTCAAGGCAGGCGGCTTGATATGCTGACCAGACAGACCCAAGTTTGTTGGGCTTTGATTCAACCTTGAACACACAGCATGGGGCTGGTTTATCATGGCTTGATTAGTTTATTTCAATGGGTCCTAAAATTGACTTGAAGTTTAGTCCAATTTTTTTTTAGACCAACAAACAAACTGTCTATTAGAAGAAAAGGAAATACAGTTTGGGCACCGGGTCCAAATGCTTTCACTCAACATTGTCACATTCGATTAAAAGGGTTTTCTTACTCGAAACACAAGCTACAACATTTTCTCGATGAGAAACCCAAACAAGGGAAGAATCCTCGCAAACCCTTACAAAGAGATTTAATATCATTAAAAAATCACTAGTTGGCAATCTCCCCCCACAATCACATTTTTATACCCCAAGTTTTTAACAAGAAGCAGAGATTTACGAAGTATAAGACCTTCAGCAAGAGGAGGGCAACTAACATTCTCTAGAAAAAATGAAGCCACCTTAATGGGATGTCCGAGGTAGTTTCTGAGAATCATACCTCCCCCACAGGTCTTCTTAATTGAGTTGAAAGCAACATAAAAGTTAAGTTCGAGATATCCTTTCGCTGGCACCATCCAAAACTGAAGAGGATGAATAGGAGGGGAGGATGGAGAAGACAACATTTGATTCTGTCGAGTAAACTCTTGAACGTTATGAAAAGCAATATGAGCCCCATTGCTTATGCTTAAAAATTAGATTATTTCTGCATTTCCAAATGGTGCAACAGAGAAAGGCTACTAAGCTTAAACAATCATCTGGCCAGTCAAGTTCTAGTTCGAACCAAGATCAAACCGCCTTTTTGGTCAAAAAGGAAGGAAAATTATCATTGAAGTCAATTCTAAACGGACTAAATTTCCAAACCATGCAGGCAAAGGGACAAGTGTAGAGTAGGTGGTCAACTGTCTCAACCTCCAACTCACAAAAGGGACAACAAGACATTTCAGAGGCTCTATGTAAGAAAATTAACTTATTCACAGGCATACGCTCATGGAGGCACTGCCATAAGAATAGTTGAATTTTCTTATGAGCGCGAATTTTCCACACCAATTTCCACATACCACTTTCAGACGACATCAAAACTACACCCATCTTAGGAGAAAGAACATATAATACAATACGATAAGCACTTTTAACCGAGAACCTGCCATCCTTGGACGATCCCCAAATTTTCCAATCAACTTGGAATTTGTAAGATGGGAGTCTGATCCCGTTGGTTAAAATGTTAACACACTAAATCTGAATTCCACTTGTAAGAGGAATGATTAATAAGGTCTGCAACAAAAGAAAAATTGGCACCCAAAATCTTTGAAGTGACTGAGAAGTTTTAAGCGGCAGGAAATGAGTTGTCCTTCCAATAATTTACCTTGGATTGGTCGCCAATACATTATTTCATACCTTTTTTAATGATCTTTCTTGCCGAAAGAATGCTCTTCTGGACCCAAGAAGCACCCGATTTATTTGGAGCATCAATAAAGTTACAATTTTAAAGTATTTCAATTTGAAGGATTTAAAGAGCAAAGTATCATCACCGGTTTTCATTTGCCACGCAAGTTTCGCAAGAAGGGCTAGGTTGAAGGCCTCAACATTCTTGAAACCAATTCCTCCATCATTCTTGGATTTACAAAGGTTGTCCCAACTGATCCATTTATTTTTATTGGATTTTTTTTTCACCATTCCACTAGAAGTTGAAGAGATTACTGGTCAACTTTTTACAATTATGCTTTGGAAGTTAAAACATTGCATAGAGAAGGTTGGGATAGCTGAGAGAACTAATTTCACCATCTCTTCCCTGCCTACCTTAGACATCAATTGGCTTTTAAGCAACTTAGTCTTTGAAACAACTTTGTCTAAGATAAAGTTAAGTGATGAGACCTTGGAGCTACCCATAAAGGAAGGAAACCCGAGGTATCTATTGCACCCATCGACGTTCTGAAAACCCAAGGTTTGTTTGCATGCATCTTTAAGGGCCAAAGGAGAATTAGGATAAAAGTAGAAACAAGATTTGTCCAGATTAACTAACTGACCTGTTAAAGCTTTGTAGCGGTTGAGGACCGATTTGATGCACTGCACTTCAGAATTTTGAGCTTTACAGAAAATGAGGGCGTTATTTGTGAAGAGTAAGTGAGAAATTAGAAGGCAATCCTACCCATTTTGAGCCCCAATTTTTTTTCCTTCTCGCACATTCGTGGAATGGCAGGGATAAACTTTCAATAAAAAAAAGGAACAAGTATGGTGAGATGGGATCTCCTTGCTGCTGCAGGCCTTTAAAAGAAGTAAAATCATCTCTTTTTTTTTTTTTTTTTTTTTTTTTTTTTTTTTTTTTTTTTCTGTTTAATAACACAGAGAATGAAACAACGCTAGAAATTTCCATAATTAAATTGAACCATCTCTGATCAAACCCCAACAAACTCATAAACTTGCATTGAAAATACTAATTCACCCTATCATAAGCCTTTGCCATATCAAATTTAGTCGCCATGTAGCAAGAATCACCATGTTTTTTAGATTTTA